GTATGATATAGCCCAGCCCTACCTGTAACATCGTTCAGCCTGACTGGTTTGGTGGTGGGTCAGTGATGGTCTGGCGAGGCATATCCATAGAGGGACACACACACCTCTATAGGCTAAGCAACAGCACCCCTTCCGTTAAGTATCGGAATGAAATCCTTGGAGCCACTCAGACCCTACGCTGGCCTCATGTAGTGAATGTATGTAGGCAGTTTCTGGAGGATAAAGGAATGAATACCACTGGTCTCCACATTCACCTGAAGTAAATCTAACAGAGCACCTCTGGGACATTATGTTTGGCTCCAGTCTAAGCTACCAGACTGTCCAGGAGCTCAAATGAACAAGGTCCAGATCTGGGAGGAGGTCGCCATAAGGATATCAACTTCAATCTTTAGGAGCGTCCGCCGACATTGTCAGCCATGCATACAAGCACGTGGGGGCCAAACAAACTACTGAGTGTCCTTCTGAGTTGCTACAATGCAATTTAGGCAGAATGGAGTAGCCTGCTGCATTATTTTTTATACTTTGATTTCTTGTGTTTAATTGAATTCAATGATCTGTAAGGTGATAATTTTCATTTCCAACAAACAATGTGCCATCTTTCATTCCTAAAATGTTACCCAGTCTATAGTCATTATGTGTTTTCAAAGTGTTCCTTTTAATTTTTTAAGCAGTGTATAAATAAAGTCCTATCACCTTCTAAATGAGCTGCAGAAGTTTTATCAAATATCACTTGTCGCCATTTGAGTTGAACTCTGTCAGAACTGGAAACCACAAGTTTAAAAATGAGTCAGGTGTAGGGGTAATGTGCGCTGCAGCTTGTCTGAAAAAGAACACACGGAAATGTGCAAAATCTGTGAAGTAAAGCTAGTTCTGAATTACTATAGTGCTCGTCTTTTCTCAAACTTGTCTCCCAATGGGTTCTAAAAAGTCAATAAGTATTTGTAGTAGTTAAAATAGAAGTCCACAAGTGTGGTTTCATTGCTGCTAGTTTTCACTCAAACGTTATTAGTGGCTAAAGTCATTCTTGAAGCAGAGGTGGTCATTAATTCAGTGGCGACAGTTCAACTCTGACCCCAACTACGTTTAATTGATGTTTTGACCTTTTCTTGCAAAGTCATCCAGTTCCCATACTGATCACAAGACTTTGTTAATGGAAGTTCCTGCAATGATGTAATACTGTTTTTTTTTCCAGCGTCAGATACAGACTGCAGTCTTTAATGAAGAGTTGTAGATACAAGATTTCTGTTATAGCAGTTAAAAAAATAACGAACATATTTTAAAAAAGCTTAATAATTTCATAATAAATATAACAATTATATGTTCTTACCTCCAAGAGCTTTTATTCTGCACGTGTCTTATTGTAGCTGCCGGCCTGACTCTTCCTATTTGAAAGGTTTCATATAGGTGGCCATATTTGGCAGAAGTAGACAGACACACACACACACACCTCTGCATGTTAATGAGGTTGTGAGGTCTGTGGTTAAATTAATCAAGCAAAGATCAGCGTTTGTTGTTTTGATCTTTACTTTAGAGGTCATGTTTGCTCGTCCTTAAGAACACCATGTGCTTTAGAGTAGTTACAGATAAGTAGCATAATACGAGGAACTTAAAATGATGTCCATCGGTCATTTTTAAAGATCACTTTCGTTTCTGTAGTCTCATTTCTAAAATTGTGTTTGTCAAACTGCAGATCAGCAGATTCAATCATGTCTAGCTGCTGAAATCAGAAAAATACTCATAGCATGTGCCATATGTTCATTTCCTTATGTGAAATGACTCAACTGAACTCCACAATACCGTTTTTGAAAGGTGGCGGTCATGACAAACAGTCGTCTACTTAGTCGCCACGTTGGGCCTGCTTACTTGGTGAGGGCAGGCATGAAGAAAGAGGAAGCTGTTTCTTGATTGTGTTTCACACAGGATGCTGGCTGGGTTGATTGTGTCAACTTTTCTGACCCCTGATCCTCTCTTCCCCTCTGACCTGCAGCAAGGTCCCAGTGTTGCTGAGATGATGGTGTCTCTGGGCTCTGCAGAGATCAGCCATCGATTCCAGAAACTTCTGCTGCTTTCAAACGAAACAGATTAACGACCAAACTACCCGCCACTACATCACCTCACAGTCACAGCGCTAACTGATGGAAGTCTGAAGAAAACAGCTGCTGCTGGACTGGTTGGCCTGAATGTTGATCTCACACATGGTGATTCTGCCACCTTTAAAATAAACTGAATGCCGATTAATACTCGAAATATCAGAAAAAGGTGCTGAGAATTTTATGCACTCAGACTGTGTTATGCAGTAATGTGAGACCTTACACCTGTTGCTGTGCTCACACATGGATGGGAAGTACCTTGATATTTCCATGCAAATATCAAGGTACTTTACTGAAGACATTTTAATGAACTGGTCCACAGATGTACAGTCACAAGTGTTACAAGTTCAAGGGCAGATGTAAAAGATCAAGATGAAAACGTCAATAAATAAATAAATACCCCAAAGACCGATAGATAAATATATTTAAATTTAATACAGAGTTTCTGCTCAGTTGTTCTCCTGGCAGTTAACAGCTTTTTGTTTTGAATGTGACATAATATATTCTTTTATTATATTCTTTTCTGTTTTATAAATGATGTAAGACTTGTGTAATTAAACCATTTACTTTAACTACTTTTCAAAATGTTTTTGTTTATGAAAGATGGCTTACAAAACTTCTAGGGTAAACATTTTGAAATCACATTCTGAAGTACTTCTACTTCCCTTTATTTTTATATTATTGAGTATTTATTTACTCCACTACACTAGTGTGATAACTGACATTTATAATGCTGTTATATAGAATAACAGGCAGTGAAATAATGCTTCTGCTTCTATAATCCTGTGACATCACAGGGTTGACTGATGTGTGAAGTACCTTCAGCCCTTTTAAAGTGAAATCTTGTTGCAGAGTGACCTTTTGTTATCATGAACCCTCTTTCACTTCTGAGCTTTATAAAAAAAATCTGGTTGTAACCAGGTTTTAAAATAATAAAAATATAGGTGAATATTACCTGACATGACAAAAAATTTAAAAATTACACTGTTATTATTAAACAAAGAGAAAATGCAGAAGCAGCATGTGAAAAACTGAGCACATGCCATCATTGGGTAGTTCTTGTAGAACCACCTTTAGCAGCAATAATTTGAAGTCATTGTTCATTTTATGACTATTAATTTTTCATTTGTTGTGAAGGATTTACTTTTGTTTTTTTGTTTTTTTTTAATCACATTGCTTCAGTTCATTGAGGTTTTTGGGGCATTTTTTATGTTATGCATTGTTCCCACCACAACATTTCAATACGGCTGAGGTTTGGACTCTGGGCCATTGCGACAGCTTGAGTCTTTTCTTTTTCAGATGTAGATTTGTTGCTGTGTTTGTGATCATTGTCCTGTTGCTTGACCCTGTTTGGGTCAAGCTTTAGCTGTTGTACAACATATTTGGCTCTAGAATACTTTGGTATGCAGAGGAGTTTATGGTCTACTCAGTGACTGCAAAACAAGCCCAAATCATCACACCTCCACCACTGTGCTTGACAGTGTTTGGTTTTCTAAAAGCATAATGCTGTGCATTATAGCCGCACATCTCCACTCTGCTCTAATCTGTTCAAAGGACATTTTTCCAGAAGTCTTTCATGGGTCAGATGCAAATTTGGATCTGAACAGTCTGTACTGTCATGAACTTTAACATTGGGCCTCATTTAGCATGTTTATAGAGTCTGAAACAAAAGACTCTCTTAAACGCTCCTTTTGTGAATGATCTTTCTCAGTGTAGATACACCCCTGAATACTTTTACAGAGGTCCTCAACATTTGCTAATGATCAATTAGTCTTTGACTTTTTTGGTATAGGGAGGGTTAAATAGTGAGATACAATTATTTTAAGAACATGAACAGCAGACTCCATGAGGCTATCATGAGGGCCTTGAGTCCTTTAGTAGTACCTGTGCTTGCAGTTACTGTCAGCTGAGCTGAGAGAGTGATGATCTGTGGCCATCACCTCCAAAACCATTTCCTTTTTGGTGGTTATGTTCTTGTTGCGTTTCCAGTGCTCTTGGTGACACTTACATTTGCATCAAAGCAGGTGAAATGCATCCACAGTGGTTTATGGTTCCTAACTGGGCAGACTGTTGGAGACTTCCCTTAATTCTGAGAACTGTATCGCAGATAATGGACTCTTAGTTGAATTATCAAAGCACGGTATTTATTTATTTTTTTTAAAATTTTGAGTCAAATTATATTTAGAATAAATATTTTTACAAGAAGGGTTGAAGGACGTTTGAACGTAATACATTATGAATTAAGCATCATAAGAAATGCGCTATGAAAGTACTAAAAGTACTCCAAACAATATAAACAATATAAAAATATCGATTCCTAATGAATTCTTCTGTAAGTGGAAAGAAGTTTGGGTGATCTAACGAAGTAAAAGCTTTCCGTGTGAAATGTGAAGAAGTGTGCATGAGCCTGAAGTGTGTTTTTGAGTTCCTTCTTTCCGCCGCTGCACTGACAAACGCGACAGAGTTGAAGATAAGCAGATATGTGTGTGAGCGCGTGCTGATGCAGGCAGTGAGGGGGTGTAACGTGGTTGGTGTGTCAGGGGCGTGAGTGTCACATGTCAGCGTACACAGACGGCAGTTTGACACCTCCGCTTCTCCGCCAGAGAAAAACAGTCGACAGCTAAGCGGCTCTGGACCGGCAGGAGACGGACGGCGATGGCGAGCGGTGACAGCCAGGAAACTTTCGAGTCATGGCTCAGTAAGTGAACAAGGAACAGAAAAAGTTTGTGTTGTTGTTGGCGTTCAGCTGCGAGTCTGCAGCGCTAGCGTAGTTCTCATTGGCGAGACAGTCCGCGCTAACGTCCCGTGAACGGTCGGCTCGTGACTTCAGTTTGACTCCATCACCGTACACACTTTTTATGCGCGAAACAACGCCCTGTTTTATTTATTTAACTTAAACTACGTTTTGGTATTCTCTAGAAACTCTCAGCTGGAACAGGAAGTTGTTCGCTCGTGCGTGTGCGTGAAAGAGAGCGAGAGAGAGAAGGGGTGTTCGCGTGTCACCTGCAGAAGTGCGCGCGCTGTCACAGGTTTTTTATTTAATAAAAGCAGGCGTGTGACCAAATAGGTAGCTGGTATTGACTTTAGACCTGTGATGAGAGCAGGTTTTTATAGGTTTTACTGCAATAATTCAGCCCATAATGCATCTCGTACTGTATTCATAGCATTACTTAAAATAAATAAAACAAGAAGACACCCAGACAGGAGAGAGGTAGTGCTGAAGCAGTCAGTTCATAGCATGGTCGTATTGTACTGTATAGTTTTTATTTTTATGATGGCTTTTATCTTTATTTCTTTTTGACTTTTTGTTTAGTTTAGTTTGTAATGGGTTCAATGTTAGTTTTAGTCTTAGTATCATTGTGTGGAGGGCATATATCAGAGTCACTACAGGTGTTTCAATAAAAACACAGAACATTTTGAAACCAGTCGACTTTCAGGCTTGTCCAGAATGTCAATTAAAATGTGCATTAAAGCCTCGTCACCTTATTGGATAAGCTCCTCTGTATATTTCTTGTATTCACTGTACTGTGCAAAAGCCTTGAGCTAACCCTCATTTCTTTATATTTTGCTTCCAAGTAGCCCTTCTTGCTTGTAAGTTTTTAAAAGTGGTCCTAAGTGATTGGCTTTAGCTGAATCTATGAATGGAATTTGTAAGAATGGTGCCTTTTGTGCATGAATGATTCATAGGTTAGTGTTAAGTGGCTTCCCACATACGCAAAGGTCAGGTATAGGAACTGGACTGAAAATTAGTAAAGAAGTAGCCAATGTCCAAACTTTGAAAGACCTTCAGAAAGCCTGGAGAACTATTGCTCAACACCACTTTAAAAATAATACGAAGTCTAGTTCCATGACAGCAAAATATAAAGAAGTGATTTTTTTGAATGTGGTTTCAGGCTTTTCTGTAAATTTAAAAAAAAAAAACCTCCCCCACCCCTGGTTATGTATTTCATCAAAAAAAAATATTGGATCTATAAAATTATTAAATACAGTACTTAAAGGAAAATAAAACACCGTTTCATCTTATATGGTGAGGATAGTGCACAAATATGTGTGCTAGCTAGCCTCCACATATTAGAAGCACACTTGGTGCAACATAGGCTTTGTTTCCCCTTTTTGTGCAGATCTTTAATTTTCACTTCCACAGTAAATCATTTTTTCTTCTTCTTCTGTGTTTCACTCTTTCTGTGGTCTGATTTTTTTTTTTTCTCAGATCAGGCCACGGACCCAAATAATCAGGAGGACAGATGGGACTGTATTCAGGGTTTCTACGAGCTTGTCAACCAGGAGACTAACGGGTGAGCAGAGTGTTGCTTTCTTCAGTCTTACCTATAATTTAAGCACGTGTAAAACTTGTATACTTTCCCTCTTTACTGTAGTTAGTATGAACTAAAGTTTTGTAAGCAAAGCCACTTGCTTCTAAAAATGACTTCAACACAACTCAGACATTTGGGAAATAGTTGCTTCACATCCATGTTGCCATCACAGTTTGTCAGTTACACCATCGCGCAAGATCAAGAGGGAAGTCTGTGACACCTTTTCCCCTTCGCTCTTCCCGATATGATGCAGCATAAAGTGTAAAGGTACTTTCACGTAAAGGCAGAGTCCTGTTTTATTTTAAGCATTTCAGTGGATTTCTGCTGAGGCGGGCAGAGCGCTGTGTGGAAGCTGTGCAAACACTACGTCTTCAGCTGTTTGCACGACATGTTTGCTCGAAGTTCACTCAGATGATTTGAGATTTTTCTGCCTTTCAGGCCGCAGGTAGCCGTTCGTCTTCTCGCACATAAAATCCAGTCCCCACAGGAGAAAGTGGCTCTGCAGGCTCTCACAGTGAGTAACCAGACTAATGTCACGGCATGTATTTATCTCTCTTGTTTTGTGGTGCTTTTATCTGCAGAGGTTTGAATTTGAATCTGACTTTTTAACACGGACAAGTACTATAATTCTGTATTGATTTATTTCTCCTTCTCAACGGTCATACTCGGCGTTTGTCACAGTATTTTTGTCGACAGAGGCCATTCACAGAAAAACAAATGTGTTTGTTGTAACTCTGTTTGTGGGGGTGGGGTGAATAATATCCGTGACTAATATTTATCACGTGGACGAAGCGACATGAGGCATTTAATCCAAGTTTGAAGCTGCTGTGAGGGCACGCACAGCTTGTAGCCAGTGTTTCGCTATGAGACGCGACTTGGAGAAGCTTCTTGAGGACCATGTGCCTTAGGACATGTGACATTTTAAATGTGGTTAACCACAAATATCAAAGATGAAAATCTCTTCTCTCTGTGCTGTGCTGCGTACGAAAAAATGTTCTTCAGTTTCGAGTGGTTAGGATTGAGGTTTTTTTTCTTGTTGTTTCTTTGGTGTTTTCCAGATTCTCGAGGCATGTATGAACAACTGCGGCAAGCGGTTCCACAGCGAGGCTGCCAAGTTTCGCTTTCTCAATGAACTCATCAAAGTCTTAACACCAAAGGTACTGCTTATCAGACACAAAAATGTCAGTGGTAGTTTTTAAGCTGTGAGAACAGTCTGAAAACCTCTACATTTGGTAGTCAGACTTCCACGAAGTAAATTATTTAAGAGTTCAAATGAACTGCAGTGAACTTTTGTGAACGTG